GCCCCCCCCCCCCCGGAACTTCTCTTTAAATCTCTCATTATCTTTTTCTTTATTTTAATTCCTTTGGGACATACCATATTTTCTCACATACAACACACACCATTCCACCCCAAAATCAGTCTCCTCAAATTAGGGTGCATGTATTAAGTGGGGAATCTGATTTTCTGCCTGGATAGAAGTACCCTGCATTGATTCGTAGTTTATAATGCAGCAGTTGTGCCATTACTATTCAGGAGGCTGAGGGAGTCAGTTGACTTAGTGGCTCATTGTTCTTCACTCCATAAGTGTTAATGATTGTCTCTCTTTTTTTAATAGTGCTGATGTTTCATTAATCAAGCTAAATTTTCTTAGAGAAATTTTGCTGCACTTTAGCTACTTCTGGTTTCTCTCCTCCTATTTTACAGCCCTGGAGATGCTTTAGTTCTTTCCAAAAGCATAGATCCCTCTACAGAGACCAGTCTTCAGTACCAGGGTTTGAGCTTTAGTTAAGCAGGAAAGGGATGGTATGTCACCTGAAGATTTGGTTCTAGCCCTGCTCTGTGCAGTCATAACTCTGAAAAAAATCTCTCTCTCTCTCTTCATTCTGCCTTTCAGAATTAAGATGCTTATTATATTCCAGGGCATACAAAAGAAAATACAGTCTTTATTTTGGCAGATGATTTACCCCCAGTGTTTGGCATCTGTTTGGTTAATACATTAATAGTATTCTCTTTGCTACATATCATACCACTGCTTTGGCAATAAATTCTCTTTTGATATTCATTCATTCATTGTCAAATGGGAAATCTCTTGTCACCAGAGCTAACTATAAACAAATCAATAACTTGTTGATTAGGCTAGATCAGTGGTTCTCAACCTTTTCAGAGTAACAGCACTTTTTTGAATGTGGTGGGACTCCGAACTGAGAACCACTGTTGCTGCTGCCTCAACTTATTTCAGTGGCTTGCAATTGGGTGCTGCTGCCTCCAGGTAAAACTGCCCTGTGTGCCTGCTGCACAATCAGACTGGGAAGGGCTACAGCATGTGTCCATTCTCCTGCTTCATTAGAGCTATCTGATAAGACTAAAGGAGGCAGGAGATCTTACTTGTGCTGCAGCCCCTCCCAGTCTGATCCTACAAAGTATCTCCTGGAAAGAGATGTGCACAAGGTAGGTGGAACTGTCCTGCATGTCTCTATTTCTAGGAAAGGCACTGGGAGGGCTAGACTGGGAAGGGGTGCAGAATGAGCTTGTTCTCTTGCCTGCTTTAGGCTTGTCAGAGAACCCTAATGCAGGAAGAGCATGCACATTAGGGCCATGCAAAGCTTTGGTAGCTGATTTGATTCAGAGTAGATTTGACCCGATTTGATGGCTGAATTCAGATTGAATCAGGAGACCATTTAAAAGGTCCGAATTGAATCAGAAGCCTCTGAATCAATTCAGAAAAAATTTGGTGCCACTTCAGAGATTTGGCCATAGACTAAAGAGGCAGCAGTCCTCACCTTGCTGGAGACAGCTGCCTCCAGATGGTAACTCTGTTGTGGTGGGTGGCGTGAGGAGGACAGAAGCACGGGGGAGGGAGGGATTGGGGCTGGGGCTGGAACAAGCTGCCCAGGTGGGGAGGGGGGCTGCAGGACTCAGGAAGCCGGGTGGGAGGGCCACAGGATGTGGGCGCAGCAGAGATGGGAGCAGAGGCTATGCCATGCTGCTGTTTGCCCAGGTGGGGGGGTGGGGGACAATGCAGGTGCAGCTCACTTTGGGTGGAAGGGGGTTGTGCCCGCATCCCATGCCCCCCCACCCTGGTCGGCAGCTTGTCCCAGCCCCAGCCCCAATCCCTCCTTCCACCATGCCCCTTCCCTCCCCGCTCCACCCACCACAACAGACTTACCCGCTGGAGGCAGCTGTATCCAGCCTGGTGAGGACTGCTGCCTGTTTAGTCTGTGGCCAAATCTCTGAAGCAGCACAGAATCTTTGGATCCAATTTGGCTGAATTGAAACTGGGACAGAGATTTGAATCTACGAATCGAATCACTGTCCCTCTGAATCGGCTGAATCTGAAGTGAATATTTGCCACTTTGCACAGGCCTAATGTGCATGCTGCAGCCCTGGGCACAGGACAGTTTTTCCTGGCTGCTCTAGAGATGGTAATTTCTGCATCATGGCACTCCTGAGGGGGTCTTTTAGCACCTTGGTTGAGAACCATTGGGCTAGACTCACTGGCCAGGTACAGACATTACATTTTTACCAGTATAAGTGATCAGAAACTGGTTTATAGCCATAACAGAATAGAAGTTTGACACACAAAACCTGTCTCTACCCATAACAGAACAGAAGTTCAGCACACAGAATGGTTTAAAAATAGTGGAACCCAGTCTAAGATTTGCCGTCCCCACCAAAGGGCAAATGTGTGTTCTGTTCATAACTGATCTGAAGTATGCTGCTTACAGAAAACTGTGCAACTTAGATCAGTTCTACCTAGGGCTTTTGAATGTCTGTACCTAGCCACTATAAATAAATGGATAATTAGCTGATCAAGCTAGACTACTAAACACAAAATGTATTTTTTACTGAGTATCCCATAACCTACAAATATATGAATGATACAAATTATTATTAACTGTCGATGAAACCCAAACATGATAATAGTTAATCACAATCAGGGGGTGGTGAGGGGGCGGAGATGCTTGTGTATGTGCATGTAGAGACAGAGTCTTCAAAAATGAACCATTAAAGATTTGAGTATCCTTGATACATCTGTACAAAGCACCCTCCTCCACAACAGAGTGACTTACGCTATTTGTGTTCATTTCACAGAATCATTTGCATGTGGTAAGGAACACTTCTTGGGAGTTTAACCGACAAGGTCAAATTAACTTTACCTAGTTTGGTTTCACAGTGTTCTCCTGTCCAACCCTCACTACAGAAGCAGAATCCATCACCGTGTATCCCTTCATTACACATTCCGTTCTTTGTGCAGTTACACTCTGTAAGTGACAAACAGAAAACACTTAGAATTTAGCTCCACTTGCTTAAAGGTCTATCTTCCCCTTTCTCCTAGATACCTTCCAGTAAATGCCCCTTATGTTCATTTCCCTCCCATACGTAGTGTAATTCATTTACTCAAAATCCTCAACATTTTTCCTACATTTCCTACATTTTATGACATCTAATTTTTTACTGTAAAACCTAAAGAGATCGTTTGGATTTCATACTTCTAATTTTTTCCCCTGACACAACATCAAGGCACAACATCAGGAAGCAAAGCAAATACTAACATCAGGATGTAAAACACCACCAAATTGCAACACATTATATACCAGTCATAGATTCATAGATTCATAGATTCATAGATTAAGGGTCGGAAGGGACCTAGTAGATCTTCTAGCCCGACCCCCCGCCAGGGCGGGAGAACAACAAAAAACCCCAAAAAGAGAAA